TTCCATGTACAACATAATATTATAAACATGTATTCCTTGAGGAATACAGAATTGAGCCAATTAACAAATGTAATAATTCACATATATATATATATATCATTTTTGTAGTGAAAACTTTGAAAGCTACTCTAGTGATGTTCAAAAATACAGTACATTATTTTTTCCTCTAGTCAGTATGACTCTTGAATTCATTCCTCTGAACTAAAATTTGTATTTCCTTTGACCAATATCTCCCAACCTCCCCTCACCCCCAGCTCCCTGCTGTATCTATATTTGCTTCCACATTTTCTCCAAGTTATATATCGCATCTTACTGCTTCTTCACTGGCTTAAAATTCTGCACTGCTGAGCACCAAACTTTGGTATATTTCTGTAAAAAACTAAGAACTTTGTCCTTAAAGGCAGTTAACTTCCTTACAGTTCTGTTTTGCATCTTTAAAGCTGGGTTAAAGCTTTTCTCAAGGAAGATTTTGAATAGAAATCAGAAAACTTTATTCTATAAATTTCCAGAGAGTGAATACTCTTTGCAAGCTGTGCAGTCTTGGTTGCAACTTCACCTCTCCCATGACAGTGGAAAAATAGTCAGATTTTCTAGTCTGATACTTAAACAAGTGAAACTGGCTGAGCAACCCTCCTAATTTATTTACTGAAGCAAGTGACGGGCTGGATTTAACCTTGGGATTGTAGTTTGCCAGTCTGTAGTCTAATGTGTACCTTCTTGTGGAGTTACTTTACCCCATACAGAAGTATAGCTTTCCTGGAGTTCCTACTGAATAACCTGTGTGTTTATCAAGGACTGTCCTGGCTGATAGAATCTCAGAGAAGGCTGGCTCTCTGAACCCTGGAGACATTTCAGTTTCTATCTCCTACTTACTGCTTTCTTGGAAATTGTTCTCTGACTTCTTCATGGATTCTGCCCGACAACCGTGCAAATTTAAATTGGACCAAAGACTAAAACACATCTCTGGATCTTCTTCTGTACATAGCTGATTTTTCTCCAGCACTGCACTTTGCAAATTCTGGTTGGCCCAGCCTCTGCAGCGTCTGCTCCCTAAGACCTCAGCTGCCTACTTGTCTTACCATTTCAGAGCTTCAGTGTGGAAAGCAGTCCTAAGCAGAAACTGGGGTGATGACAGGATATGACATTTTGTCCTCTCTCTGAGGGATCACAGTCTTGTATTTCCTAGTGTTCATTGTCTGAGAACAACTGTTTAAAACGTTTTGCTCAGTGTTTTGTTTGTTGCTTATATATGAAGAATAATTTTGAAACTTCTTACTGTATAATAGCTGAATGCAAAAGTTCTCTCACTACTTACTATGGTATTCAAATTGTCTCTTAGTTGGTCAGCAAGTTTTGCTGCAGTCCAGCTCTGTAAAATTTTTATTATAAGTCCATTGTGTTTTCTTAGAACTTTCTCGATTTTTCACACATGCACGTGCACACACGCACACACACACACACACACACACACACACCCTTGGTTCATCCCATATCTCTTTACCTTAATCCCAGATAGGCCATTTTCCCAAGAAAGATGTGGTTCTCAGCTCCTTCGGCTTCGTGGTGACCCATAGACATGAGATGAACCTGCATCTGAAAGTAAAGAATGCTCAGGCTTTCTAAGCAAGTTTTCCAAGTATGTGGAAGAAAGGGGAGAGAAAGAAATGAACCTTAAAATCTGTCAGCAATCAAATCAAAAGCTAAAAGATGTTTCAGAACAACAGAACATTTCTAAGGAGATTTCTTCCGTGAGTAACCAGAAACAGAGCGCTCCCAGAAGTGGAGATGGGGAAGACTGTGTTGTGGGAAAGTCTGGAGGGGAAGATTCAGAGTTCCTGTTAGAAATATTAAATTTCAGATGTTTCTTTTTTTTTTTTTTGCTTTTTCTCCGGTACTGGGAACTGAACTCATGACCTTGCGCTTGCCAGGCAGGCACTTTTGCCGCTGAGCTAAATCCCCAGCCCCCAGATGTTTCTAAGATATCTATTCAGGGTCTCAATTTTAAAATTTGTTATTTTATGCAAAACAAAATTTCTTAACATGCTAATTACTATCTAACTTATGCAATAGTTTTAAAAATCAAAACTATACAATTTCTTAAATGTTTTAATATTGCAATCACTTAAAGGTAGATGGTGAACTGCTAATAGTTCATTTTCTTCAGACAAAAGAGTCATGAAGCAGGGTATGGTGGTGCACGCCTGTGATCCCAGCACTTGGGAGGCTGAGGCAAGAGGATCACTGGAAGTTGGAGGTCAGCCTGGACTACAAAGTGGGTTCAAGGCCGGCCTGAACTACATAGTGAAACCCTGTCTCAAAAAGACAAACAAACAAGCAAACAAAGCCATGTAAAATAAATTGAAAATATGTAAATAATATTACTTGATAATTTCCCTTAACATTTACCTAAAAAAATCTCACAAGTATATACTGTATTGTGTGTTATTTCATGGTTACAAAACATTATAGTATTGAGGCTTTCTCAAAGTAGAGAAATTAGTTCAAGTTAGTTTTCTGTGATATTTAAATATGCATATATTTTCTTAATGCAGCTATTTTTGTTTTGTAATTGCAAAACCTTATTGCTAAGCTAAATATTAGCCATATTGATTTGTGTAATATATTGGGATATGTAATGCACTTCTGTTTAGAAATCTGTCCAAAGTACTTTCTTCTTGCATTTTGAAAGAATTGAATTGTGGCTTGATTTAGTCACTTTGAGGCAAAGTATCTTAAAAGCCTGTTTTGCTTTTCCTTTCTAAACAAATTGGAATTGACAGAATCAATAAAAATGCCAACTCATATAAAATGAGATAATCTAGTAATTCCTTAGGTTTTCAACAGCCTTTTAACCACTGATGCATCTGGTGGCCAACTTCACCTTTACCGCTCCTTGATGACATTTATGATGTCATCAGATATCCAACCTGACGTCATGTCTCTTCTTTTAAAACTACGGATTTAGAAATAATTCAAAAGACATGAAATCTGAATCTAAATTGCACCTTTGTTTTTGAAAAACCTGCAAGTCATTTAGCATCTATAGTCTTCAGTTTTCTCATTTATAAATGAGGGTTTCTATAAATAATCTCCATTTCTGTGAGCTGGAAAATGTTTAACGTTATGATTCTGAGTCAAACTGTGCAATTGAAGCATTAAAGTCTTTTGTCTTACCCCTGGTGTACTAAAATGAAGCGAGCACCTAGTGAACAATTTAATCCCACACTGCAAGGAAGAAAGTATTGGCAATTAACTCTGACAGGAAAGTTTGGTTAGAGGCAGAATGCACAGTTGAAACTCATCTTCCATGGTTTTGCAAGAGGAATTAGGCAACCTCAACAAGCAATCCAGTAACAGCCCGGCACCCAAAGTGGCAAGAAGCCTACGGATTTCCTCCCCAGGCGTTCTCCGACCATTTTCCTTCTGCCCATCTACTGTCTGAAAATTGAGACCTCTCAGCATGCAAGAGCTTCCATAGGAGTGTGTGTTAGCTTTCTGGTGCTAGAACAAATACCTAAAATGGTCAACATATAAAGAGGAAAAGACTATTTAGGCTCAAGGTTTTGAAGTTGTCAGTCCATGATCAGCTGACCCCTTTGCTTTGAAGCCTGTGTTGAGACAGTGCATCCTGGTGGAAAGGCATAGTGGAGCCAAACTGCTGACCCAGTGGCCAGAAGTGAAAGCTAAGGATGAGGGAGGGCCTGGGGCCTTACAGTCCCCTTTGAAAGCTTGCCTCCACACACCTTCCATGAGGCCAGACTCTCTCCCTGTTGCCTTTCCAGAGGACCAAGCCTTTCCAACATGGGTTTTTGATGATCCAAACAATAGCAGTTTTATCAGCAGGAGTTTCCAAAACAACTTACAATAAATTTCTGGAATATAACCTATCTCTAATGCACAGCAGCCTTCATCCACCAGGAAACTTGCCTCCAGCAGTGGGAGCTACCACCCTAGACATAAACAAAGGAGTGGTGCTACCAGCTCCCTGCCTGACATTGAAGAAAAAAAGAAGGATCCTAGGATGTCCGAAATCACAGGTGAAGCAAATCCCATGTTGGATTTCTGAACAGCTTTTTTTTCTGAAGTACTATAATTATAATGGTTATGCTGCCTTTTAATATTGGAGGGATATAATAATAGTAATACCTGGACAGTTCATATTGAGCTGCTTTAGCATTTCCAAAGCACTTTACTCCATACATTGTTTATTTAACTAATGTCTACTGATCATCTGCTAGGGATAAGGCTCAGTCTTTGGCACTTTTATGCCGTAGTCTGCTGAAGTGCCTTAACTTCTGTAGGATTTTGCTTTTTCTATCTGTAGATAGTGACATTCGTCAGACATCAATAAATTCCAGGTTACATAACTAGTACACATTATCCCCAGAGATCAAAATCAGGTCTTTGAAGGCATTGGTCTTTCTGTGATGCTTTGCGAACAGATAGGCATTGTTTTGCAGGGAAATTGTTTCTAAAATCTGGGAAAAAGAAGACAAATAAACATGAATTTGGGAGAAAAATGTGTTGGAAAGTCTTGTATTTGTTCTTCATGTTTGACTCTGCTTCTGGGAACAGTATATATTTTTTCACTTCTGAGAAATATTGCCGTGAATGAATGCTAACAGAATAAACTTCCAAGCACTCCATAAAACAGAAGCAGTTAGCACCTTAAAGATTTTATTTTAGGGAAAAAGAACTGAAAGGCAAAGTGTACTTTGACTCTGACCTGTATTTTGTATCCTTAAATGCAGTTTGGGGAATCTTGGGGGTACTTTCCTAAATCAATCAAATGGTGCTTTTTCAAACTTGTCAACGATCTATAGGCCAAAACTATAGTGCACATCAGAAGACAGAAATAGGGGTAAAGAACCCCAAATTCTTAAGAACACTGTGTTCCTTTGTATATTAAAGTAAGCCTATTCTTACTGCTTTTGGGGCTCACTGACTGCTCCAGGAATCGTTCTGCATTGTTTTGATTTTTTTTGTTTTTATTTACCTAGGTTACTGCCCACCTGGCCATCAGGAATGTCAGAATGGCAAATGCTACAGACCGGAACAAAGCTGTGATTTTGTGGATGACTGTGGAGATAATACTGATGAAAATGAATGTGGGGGCTCCTGCTCTTTCGAGAAAGGCTTGTGTGGCTGGCAGAACTCCTTGGCTGAAAACTTTGATTGGATTTTGGGCACTGGCTCTCAGCAAAGCCTAAGACCTCCCAGAGACCACACACTTGGAAATGAGGATGGTGGGTATCCAGGTTGCTACAGTTGCCCTGATCAGATTCACAAGGTTCATCTCCTTGTGTTCCCTGAGAACAGCCGGAGAGACCACCACAGTGAGGCTGCGAGTTAGTGAGTGTGTTTATTTCCAGGGCTGCTGTTACAAAGTTTGGTCATAGTTTGGGTTCCTTAAAAAAAAAAACCAACAGTTCTGAAGGCTGACAATCTAAGATCAAGCTGCTGGCAGGTCAGTTCCTTCCGTGAATGTGAATCATCTCTTCCACACCTGCTCTTAGGTTCTAGCAGCCGCGGGTATTTCTGACTCATCACACATGAGCCTGGCTGAAGTGTCCCGGTGCTGATGGAAGCCGGCTGACCCGGATGCCAAAGCACTCACCTACCTGAATAGCCCTCTGTGTCTGCCCACTGTCTTCTGTCTATGTATGTTTTTACTGGGCTCAGACTCTTCCTTTATCTTAGGACACACTCATTGGATTAGCATTCACCCCCCTGATCTCATCTTAACTTCATTGGCAAAAAGACGGGCTGGGGATTTAGCTCAGCGGCAAAAGCGCCTGCCTGGCAAGCACAAGGTCGTGAGTTCGGTTCCCGGTACCGGAGAAAAACCACAAAAAAAAAAAAAAAAGAAACCTATTACCAAATAAGGGCGCATCCATAAGCTCTAAGGATTAGGATTTCACAACAGTGAAAACTGAACATTAACAGTTATCTTGGGGGTTGGGGATTCAGTTCAGTGGCACAGCGCCTGCCTGGCAAGTTCAAGGTCGTGAGTTCAATCCCTGGTACCAGAAAAAAAACAAACAAAAAGAAATAAACAAGAGTTATCTTTTTTTTTTTATTTTAAAGATAAAAGGAGGGAAACATTAACAGACATACAACATTTTACAACATATCACAAGCACAATACAGACAATACAGAGTTACAAACAAAGTAGTAGGGAACAACAGTTATCTTAACAATTGTAGTGAGATAATAATGGAGGCTTCCATTAGGCACCTTTTGTAAGGCACGCATTGCTCACCAGTAACCTCGAATTCTGACCCTCATTTGATCATTACCACATCACTTAACTCTCCAGAATCTCAAATTTCTCATTTGTCCATGGGGATCATGAACTTTGCCCTGCGTGCCCAGCAGGGTTGTAGAAACAAGTGAAATGATATGTACGAAGGGACAGGAGATGGAAACACACTGCGGTGCTGTGAAATTGCAACTGGAAAACAGCATGCTTCGGGAGGTTTGTGCATGGGTTATTTTTGTAGTAAGTGTCCTCAAACTCATTGCTTCAGGAGCAAAGGAAATAAGCAGTATGAAGACGAGGTCTTAAGTTCCTGGATGTTGCACATTAGGAAACAGATAGCTAAGTATTGAAATGCCACAGTCCTACAATACAAATCTGATTAAGCCAGGCTCACCAAGCCAGGGAACGGGAACCCTAAATCCCATTCAAGCACTCAGTTATACATTCTTGAAAGATCTTCAAAGTTTTTATGCACAAGAATAAAACTCAGTGTGGTTCCTCTCATGTTTCGTATTAAAATCCTCTGTTCTAGTTACATTCTCAACGGGTGACTGAATATTTGGAAGCAGTCCTGTTCCTTTGTTTAGATTTCATAAGGAATCTTTGAAATTGTTTGACAATACCCAGGTAGTTTAGGGGGTATATTAAATAAAGCTATCTTATTGATTTGATAGCATAAATATCCTGTCAGATCAGTTCATCTGCATACCGGGAAGCAATTTACTAAAAGCACAGACAGGTGGAAGTTGTTCTGTCGGTGGACTAAAGACAAGGCTATTAGACTTTGTGTTTCAAATGAAAATGCCTCGGGGAGCTCAGATCATATGAAATGTAATCAAAAACCCTAACATCGTCTCATCTGAATCCCACCTTCGCTCCTAGGGCACTTCATGTATCTGGAGGCTACTCCTGTGGGCCTGCGGGGCGACAAAGCTCACTTCAAGAGCACCAGGTGGCAAGAGTCCAGTGCTGCTTGCACCTTGAGCTTCTGGTATTTCATATCTGCAAAAGCGACAGGGTTCATTCGGATTCTCATTAAGGTAAGATCTTGGCCCCTGGGCCTCTGAGCATACAGTGGATTCCCTCAGGCAGGACATAGCCAGGAGTAGCTCATTACAGGCCTTTTGACTTGATGCAGGGAACCCTCACTTCCTCCCAGGGGGTGGACCTGGGGCATGAGGAGCAGCTTAGATTCAGCGATATGTCCTGTGATTGCAACTGAATCCCACAGACTTCTTAGTTTAATTTTTCCTGTGTAGTTGTTTCCTTCCCTATCTTCTTCAAAAGAAAATAGATTATTCATACATCTGAAAGGAGGACAACTATGCATTTTTCTCGTATATGGCTACTCATTATGGGAACTAATCATAGACATTCTGGTTCCAAGGACCGTGCACAGGATTAAACTGCACAGGAGCACTCTCAAGCCATGGTTACATCGAGCTGCTTATCAATGGTGACATACTAATCCATTCTCTCACTCAGGGTTAATTGGATGTTTCTGTCAGAGCTTGAATTCAGTAGAGCAAGGTGCCAGTGTTCTGGGAACAGAATAGCAAAATAAATATTAATACTATTAATGAGACCTGGTTCAAACACTTTTACTCTTTAGCAAGTTAAAACTGGCAACAAAAGGTGTGTGTGTGTGTGTGTGTGCGCGCATGTGATTTTAGTTCAAGAATCTAGTTAAAATTCGAAGATAGCTTGCTTTAAAACATGCTCCAGTGGCTACTGCTGTTTTATCACACATGAGCTTTGCTGAAGTGTCCCGGTGCTGATGGAGAGCACCTGACCTGCATGCCAAAGCGCTCAGCTACCTGAATAGCCTGTGGCTAGTTCACGTTTTATCGGAAACTTGAAATGACTTTATCACTCAGGACCCTCCTATAATGATGCAGAAAAGCTAGCCTAGTAAGGTGCATGCAGAAATAACCACAGTGATTTATTCTAATGGTTGAATTTGGAAACTGACTGAAATAAAAAGCTTAAAGTTCTCACAAGAATATATAAGTTGTACTCTTTGGAATATGATACTTGATTATATGGTATGCACCATATGAGGAATTTGATTCTGCTCTGTGAGATTTGTTTTTGCTATTTGCTTCACTCATACTTACATTTCAACTATCATATAGCAAAAACTTTCTACTATTATAAAATATGAAATTAAACCCCTGAGAGATTAATCTTCCTATCAAGTCATGTAGAACTCCTGTGGTTTCTCGAATTGATTCTTATGGACATTGCACAGCATTTAGAAATAACCATCTTTCTACCTTACAAAAACAACACAAAACAGCACACCCATATTTATAAAATATAAACAGGTTCTTGTAACTAGGGGTGCAGCTCAATGGTGTAGCACTTGTCCAGCATGCACAAGACCCTAGGTTGATTCTCCCCACCACTAAATAAATAAAATATGTCCTTATTCTTTTGTAGTCATGTGGATTGTGGAGGAAAGGAATCTTTCATGACATGAATTGAGATAATATTGATGAAATGAAGGCAGTTGTTTCATTTCGGAGAGTTATATTATGTCTTTGATCACAAAGTACTTAGTTTTCTCTGTATGTGAAACCCCGCAGGATGGTATCTTGCTCATGAGCTTGAAAGCATCCTAGCCATATAGTAGACTCAGTAGGACTGAGATTGCTGCCTGCCTGCCTTCTGCCTCCCTCCCTCGCCCTCTCTTCCTCTTCTTCCTCCTCCTTCTCTCCCTCTTTCCTTCCTTCCTCCCTCTCGCCCGCCCTCCCTCTCTCACTCCCTTCCTGTTTCCTCATCATCCCTTAAAAATGACTCCACTTTACCCATTTTCTTTCTGGTTCAGTGTCCCCTGTCCTTTCCCTCCTTCCTCTCATATTGAGTTCAATACAATCTGGAAGATCCAGCCTTTGCAAAAAGTTCCTTGGCCACTTTTACCTTCCAGGATTTTGCACCTTCTGAGCATCCTTCACGACTCTAAGAATGAGTCCTGCTCACTGGCTGGTAGTTGGCATTTATTCTCCCAATAAATAGACTAATTTCTCGAGAGCAAGGCGTTGAGTTTCACTCTTCACATTTTTACAGGGCCTCGGAGATAGGAGTGCTGGATAAAACATAAAGACATGGTGTCTCCCCTGTGTCTTATTTACTTTTCTTGTTGCTGAGGCAAAATACCCGACAGCCAAAGTTAAAGGGGGAAAGGATTTTTTGTGCTTACAATTTATGGAAGTCTCAATCCATAATCAGCTGGTTCCAAGGCAGGGTGGCACATGGCAAAGGGGCAATAGTTCATGGTGGCAGAAGAAGGCAAAAGCAACAAAGGGGATGGGGGAGATTCTTCCTGTCCTTTATAGTGTATGAGGCTACCACCCTAGGGAGAGTGTGGTACTCACACCCTTAATCCTAGCCAGACTAATCACACACCCTTAACCTGAGCATCACACATTCTAGATTCAGCCACCTCTGAAAAAGCCCTATGACCATATGAGGCTTTAGGGGGACATCTAAACACAAATCATAACACCTAGAGACCTTTTTTGATGGTAACTTTTGTGAAAGAATGGCTATACTGCATCACATGCGTGCTGTAAAATCTAATCTGAAGAATTTTTATTCCAAATCTAAATTATATGCGTGCAAGCAGACATAATGGGATGAAAACAGGGAGCAATAATTTAATGATGATATATTCTATCACCATTGAAGTAGTACTGAGAGCAGTTCCCAGCAACAATAATACATACTCTCAGATAAGACTTCTTGAACATCAACTCCTGTATCACTTCATAATAGTACAAGCCCTTGAGGTAAACTCTGTCTCATTTTACTGGAATGGTAGAGTAATGTCTTAGAAATAGCCAAATTATTGTATGATGCACCCTCTGAGTGACAGGACTGGAATTTGAATGCAGGTGTATCTACATATAAAACCCATATACTCACCCCTCCACCCACAGGCTTAAGTGTTCTGTACTGACTCTAATAATAAAACGTTACCTGCATGTAGATATGTTAAAACATTGTTTTAGAAAAACAAAACGAATAATTAGAATAGAGATACATGATTAAGGTAGTTAACTGTATTAACTTGAGAAAGAAATGCCCAGCTGATTGAATCAGCATAGTTCTGGAGTGGTTGAATGGATTTATTGAAGACAGAAGACCCACCCTGGATTTGACTTGCACCAAAAGATAGGCTCATAGCCTAAATGGAATAAAAAGGAAAATGAAGAAGGAAGGCTCACATCTGTTTCTTCGGAGGAGCTCCAGTCCTCACCTTCACCTGGGTTGTCATCTCCTGGATTTGGGTGCAGATTCTTCAGCCTTCCATCCCAGACCCTTCGGCCTCCTGAGATGGGCTAGTGCAGGACACTACACTGAGCTCCTGGCCTTCCACCTTTGATTGGATCCTTCGGGGATCTCCAGGGTACAGACAGCCCATTACACTCCTCCACGCCTGATTCTGCAGGTGTCCATTGTAAGTTTACCTTGTAAATCTTTAAATAGTTATATATTGATATTAAATCTGTTTATCGAGTCAGCACTAATATATTATGATTCTTAAATTACTCCTATAATAAAGGAGTGGATTCGGGGAAGTACCACAAAGCAAATCTATTGTTTTAGAGAGCATTTAGCAAAACATGGCACGCGCACGCGCGCACGCGCACACACACACACACACACACACACACATACAGAGAGAGAGAGAGAGAGAGAGAGAGAGAGAGAGAGAGAGAGAGAGAGAATGCTGTGATTAAATGAAAGGCATTTGCACTGAACAACTTCCACTCTTTTTTCATTTATTTGTTTCTTATTTTGTGACCAGGGTCTTGCGAAGTGCTATGTTGCCCAGACGGGGTTCACACTTACCACCCTCCTACCTCAGCCTCATAGAGTGCTGAGATTACAGGCATATGCCACCATCCTAGCTCAAAGCAGCACCATTTTATATATTGCATGTTTTATAATTTCTCCTTGTATTTCTTGCTGTCAGTCACATTTTCTTCCTTTTGATGTTGACTTTAGTTACCAATGGAACAAAAAGCTGTAAAATCATATAAACTTTCAAGAGGAAAAATAACTTTGAAAATTAACAGTGTTTTTTGTGATAGCAGAGAGTTAACCAGGTAGAAGGATCATGAGCTCTACCTCTCTAGCTGCTTGCAACAGGCAAATCCTTCTTTTAATAGAATTCTGCCCAGAGGAAAGGTGACCTCATGGGAAACAGTGACAATCTGTGTCATTTTATTGCTTGCATTTATGGGTGACTCCAGCAAAAGCTCAAATAGATTTAGTAGTAAATCTAAGGTCAAAGTAAGTAAATGAGCTAGAACCCGAAGTCAGGTATTATGAAATTAAAAGGAGAATGCATACACTCAGTTTGACATATATTTCCAAGAAGGATATTTATATGTTAATAACCCAAAAGAGAGACTATGGCTTTTTTTGGATTTAGTAACAATTCATTTAAGAAATAGTATATTTATTTCTGAGAACATATCTTATTCTACCTATGTTTTAACTCAATATTCTCATTAAATGTAAATGCATTGCTTTTCAGATGATCAACTATTTAAAACAATCTAAATTTTTAAAAAGCACTCAAGAATAGAATAAGTATTTTGCAACACAGAAGTTAACTTGGTTTACAAATTAATTAAGCCATTTTAATTGTTTATCTATGGTGTTTACTAAGGATAAATACTTAAATGTGAATACATTAAAAGTAATTTTTCAAGAATTTTTAAAATTTACTTACTGTTTGACTGTTTTTGTCGCTAAGTGCTACGTGCTATGTTGCCCAGGTGGGGTTCAAACTTACCACCCTCCTACCTCAGCCTCATAGAGTGCTGAGGTATTTAGCCTCAGCAAAAAAAAAAGACCTTTGTGTCTGTTGAGCTAGTCATTTAAACAAAATGCAGGAACACCTGCTATCTGAAAAGCATTATCCTCTTTGGAAATACTCCATCTGTAATAAACAGTGGATATTTTAATCGAAATGACTGTATGCTTTAGAGAATTTACATGCATTTAATTGAGAGCATTCAGGACT